GAACCGGGGATTGAACCCGGGACCTCTCGCACCCAAAGCGAGAATCATACCACTAGACCATTCGGCCACATTTATCTTTCATTTGGATGCGCAAGATATGGCGAGGATGACGTGGTAAACGGGATTTCCTCGATATCCGCGCGTTATCTTTCGCATCCAAAAGAAGGAAACACTGTGGCCGAATGGTCTAGTGGTATGATTCTCGCTTTGGGTGCGAGAGGTCCCGGGTTCAATCCCCGGTTCGGCCCATTCCTTTTTGCTAATTTTTTGGAGCTTTATTCCGGTCAAACTTAGGTGATTTGAGGATATTTTCAGCATTTTTCACCGAATTTCGGGCCTAAAATGCCCTACATTCCGCCATTTTCAGATAACTTACCTCCTCCTTGACAACTTTTCCGTAGAAATTAACTGGGAGCATGTACTCTGGACGAGCCTTCTCCCATGGATTTCCGAAACGGAGCCAATCATCAGGCTCCTCAATCTGCCAACCATCACGAATGAGTTGCTTGAAAATTCCGTACTCATAACGAAGACCGTATCCATAGGCCGGGATACCAAGAGTGGCCATAGAGTCCAAGAAACAAGCGGCGAGACGTCCAAGACCTCCATTTCCAAGTCCGGCGTCCTCCTCGATCTCTTGAAGCTCCTCAATATCCAATCCGAGTTGATAGAGAGCCTCATCAACAGTAGCTTGAATTCCAAGGTTCATCATGGTGTTCGACAAGGTGCGTCCCATGTAAAACTCCAGGGAAAGATAGTAGACACGCTTTGGATCCTTGTCATAGTAGTGCTGTTGGGTGCGGATCCAACGGGACACCAAGTGATCTCTAACGGTGTTGGCTAGAGCAAAGTAGTAGTCACGATCGGTGGCCACATTGCGATCCTTGATGATCGAGAAGTGAAGGTGTCGGTTGAACGCCTTCTTGATGTTGGAAACGTTCTCGACTTGAGCGATTCCGCGGACGGAGATCTGCTTACGGCGGTCGTGGTCGTTGGTGATCATGCTTGGTGTCTTTGGCGTCTTTGGAACGACGCTCGAGGAGTTGAACGAGGTGTCGGCGCCTAGGGGCTGCTGAAAATGAGGAATTTTTATAAACTGGGGAGTTTTTTAGAAATTAGAGAAATTGGAAAATCGGGATTTTGGTCTTCGACCATAATTCGGAAGTTGTTTATCGCATTTAACTTTTTTTTTGCAATTATTTGAAAGGGACATTGATAAGAAACTAGAGGGGGAGAGATTATTTACTGTTCACAATGTTCACAGTACAAAGTCAACACACAGTCATTGTTCAGTGATCAAAGAGAATCGATATAACCTTGATATATATTATAAGGGCTGCCAAAAAAGATTAAAGGAACATGAGGGTTCAAGAAAATCTGAGTTTCGCACCTAATTTTTTCAAAGCCACGTGTAATTTCGAAAAAATCCACGTGAACTTTATTGAATATTCGCGTAAAACTCAAAATCCACGTGGAATTCAAATTTAGGTCATTTAATAACGAGCATTTACGAGAACTTTAACGCAAACATTTTAACGTAAAAAAGCCAAATTCGCGTGGATTTTCACGTATAATAAACTCGAAAAAAAATTACGCGAATTTTTCTTTTCACGCAAAAATTGAATTCCACGTGGATTTCAGAGAAACGAGAAAAATTAGCAAAACTCCACGTGGATTCGAAATTTAGGTAAATTACGTGAATTTTCACTTAAAATTTGAATCCACGTGGATTTTCGAATTTACGTGAGAAATGTGGAAAAATTACGTGGATTTTTACGTGAACAACTAAAATCCACGTCGATTTTTTTTCAAATATACGTGAAAATTGTGTCTAGGTCAAACCGAGAAAAAAATGTGAAAATTTCAAAATTTTCGAAAAATTCAAAAATCAGCAGAATCAAAGGCTATCGAGTTTGTTGATATGCTGCCTCGAGGAAAAATGACCAGTGATACTGAATGGGGAGATACTACTGATAACCCCTGGGGGAATACACAAACATGATACACTCAATGATAACAATCAGACACGGCCCTGACTCTTTAATCGTTTCACTGAAAAATAAATTAAAAACTAGCTTTGACCCTAAGCTGAAGGTTTGAAGGTTGGTCCAAAAGCTCAAAGAATCCAATCTCAAAGAGGCCAAGCTCAATGAAGCAAAAGTTCAAACTGAAAAGCAAAAAGAAGAAGGGAAATCTTTGAAAATCGCATCTCGTGTTTTGAGCGATTCATGTCAAATGCGATTTCCATCACTTCTTCTGCAGACAACATCGAAACTGATAATAGGCGGCTTTCTTTGTTAACACAATGAAAATAATCAGACCATTTGTCAGTTTAGATTAGGTCTTTATAAACATGAGATTTTCTTTTAGTTTAGGGGCTAAACTAGACAAAAACTTCATTTTTTTGTCCAAGTCTTGTGACCAGAATTGATTGAAAATTTGAAACTAAGCTCAAGTAAACAAATTACCGAGTAGCTGCTTATTCTTCGGGGTTCCTGCCAGAAGTTCTGGACCAGAAGGAACCTTTCGAGAGAGGAATAAAGAGAAGGAAAAGCTGCTCTCTGTGTAAAAGGTCCAGCTCTCTCTTTTTGATAGAATGCGAGATGGAGAGAAAACAACTAAAGACCCTCTAGTAGAGAGACAACAACCTCCCAATTGTCTGCGTCTCACTCTCTCTATCTTCTTGTGTATTTTCGTTTGAGAAACGAAAAAGAAGAAGAAGGAGGAGGAGGTCGTCTATCGCCGGACGGGACGGACACTGATAAGTAAGCAAGCAACTGCTGCCGAGGCGAGAGATGGATTTCTTCGCCTCCTTTTCACGTGATTTTTTTTTGGCAGTAAAAGAAATAATTCAAAGTAGATGTAGCGAATAAGCCTAATCTAGAAAAAGGGCTTTCAGGAATCGGGAATCTCACGTTGGCTCATCAGCTTGACTTCGCTGGAAGCTCAAAAATCGATCAAAATTCGTGAAGCCGCCTTGAACTTGATGCCACGTGGCAAAGTTAACCTAGTCGAGTTTCGCTGGAAATTCCGAAAATTTCGGTCAAAATTCACAGATTTTCCAGCGAAAATCACCTGGCTCACATTGCCACGTGGCATTAGGCTTCAGAAGGCTTCCAATGCTTTTTGACTTCTTAAACCTGTTTTTCTTAAACCTGTTTTTAAGCTAAGAAAATCTAAAAAAACTGACTTGAGCCTGGGCAAAGTGATACAGTCGATTTTTTGTGATACAGTCGGAGCCAAGGACCCTTAGAAAAAATTTCAAAATTCGAACAAATTTACTGAAAACTCCTCAATTTTGGCTTCGATCGCTCAAGGCTTGCAGCTTGCGCTGGTAATCGAGTCGATTCCAGCGATTTTTTAACAGGAAAAACGTCTCAAATCGGACAAAAAATGATAGAAATCTGTCGATCCTTTCGAACCGCCCGTCACTCGAAGGGGACTTTCGCTTCGTTATCAAATCTCCGCCCCCTTTTCTCCCCTGTTTTAGGCAGTGATAAAAGTGATAAAACAACATGATATCAACTACGAAAACATTTTGAAGACGGGCGGCCCCGCACACATGTACAAAAACAATAAGCGATCGTTTGTTGAACATTCGGGTGCAGAACGACCGATGTTTGAGCTTCTATAGGTTCCTGGGACAAATAGTTTCGATGAAAAACTGATTTTTCGATAAAATTCTATATTTTTCAACGGCAAAAATGACCAGCAACCAACTGCTGAGGAGCCGAGGAGCCTAGAAAAAAAATGACGGAAAAAAAGAAGATTGGCAGTCGTCCGAGCAAGAAGAGGAGCCGCCGGAGTAGAAGGAGAGGCAAGAAGAAGAAGAAGAAGAAGAAGTGTACGTATTTTTCGCCCGTTTCTCGATTCTGCACGCGCACACATATAAATCCCCACTGAGCCGGAGCAGGAGCTGAGGCTGTTTTTTTGAACTTTCGGTGGTTTGGAGGGGCCTGAAGGAGCCTTTAGGCTGAAGAGAGCCGAGCCTTCGAGCAGAGGTAGAGAGCTTTAGAGGCTTTATACGGGCCTGAAAAGTGAGACAAAGGCCTAACTAGCCCGGAAAGGCCTGGACGGGCCTTGAGAAGCTTCTGGAAACCTAGACGACGTCGCAGAAGGTTCCAACGGGTTTCGAAAGTTCTAGAAGCTTCTCTAGGGGTCTGAAGGGCGGTACAAGGGTCTGAATAGGCTTAACAACCTATTTTGACCAGATGATACCGCAATTGAAGCTTTTTAACGGATTTTGAAGGGCAGAGGAATTTAGAAGAGCCTAGAAGGGCCTAGAAGTGTCTATAAGGACCTAGAACGGTCTAGAAGGGTGTAGAACGGCGTAGAAGGGTCTAGAAGGTCTAGGAAGGCCTTAACACGCTCGACGGATTTTATGATCTACTGGAAACTTCATGCGCTGTTTGAATTCAATTTTTGAGAAGAATTTTCGAGTTTCCTAGTAAATTTTGAAAATGAACAAATTTCGATTTTTCTGGTTTTCTGGAAGCTTCTGAACGCCTAAACACCGCCGATATGATAAGAATTTCCAGCGATTTCACCTGAAACTAATTTAAAACTTACCGGCTTTGGCTGACTTCCCCAGCTGAAGAATCCGAAGTTCGACATTTTGAGACGAAGCAGTAGAATAGAATAGTAGTGAGTATAGAATTAAAAACTGATAAAACTGATTAGAGGTGGTGATGTTCTGTGCAAAAATGTTTTGTTGATCTGTTTTTTTCGAAACAAACATGGCGATAAAATTGCGCCGAGACGAAAGTGAAAAAGTGATTTTTGGCGCCCTGCGGTACGGTACGCAATTGAACGCAAAGCACTGATTTCTACCGTAGTTTTGGAATGTTTTGCAAAGTTTTCGCAGTGATTTTGATGGAATTTTTCTTGCCGAAATTCAAATTTTTAATGTTAAAAAATTTGAAAAAAAAACCCGAATTTTTTTTCGAAAAATTAGTCACACATTCTATCGAAAAAACTTGAATAATAACAGAATTTGTGTACAAAAAGTTCGTTGAGGTACGGTAAGAAATCGTACGCGATTATAATTTTTGTCGAAATAAAATATAATTTTCAGATGAAAAACACTGATTTTCAGCCGAAAACTGAAAAAAAAGTGTAGAAAAAAAGAGAAAAAAACGCGAAAAATCGCGAAGAATCCTGGGAGAAAAACGCAGATGTATTTCTGGAATCTTCTAGACGATTCTTTGATACTTTGAAATAGGTTTTAGATTTTTCTTATATAAATATTTTACTAAAATACCGAATAACTCCCTAAAAATGCTTTTAAAAATGCTTAAAAATACCAATAAAAAGTGCTACTAATTCTTAAACAGAAAATCGAAGAGGTAATCATTTTGCTGCAATAAAAAACCAAAAAAAAACACATTTTCAATAAAATCTTTTTATTCAATGGAAGACCAAATCACAATCCTTTCCCTTGCCAAACAGACAGTCCATGCCAATCAGAGGTGTCGGATTTTCCCAATCAATCGGACCGTTTCTTGAAGGTTCATATGGAACACGCAGCTCCCTTGCTCGTTCCCTCTCCCTCTCAAGTTCCAATTCCTCCCAAAACGAAGTTTTACGGCCATACTTTGATTCACTCCGCTTCTCTTCCTTTTGCTTTCGATTCAAATTCTTCACCACTTTGTCACCATCACGACTTCGCAACCATTTTCTTAAAATCCCGATTGGATTCTCGTCACTTTGATAACACCCAGGTATAACTTCAGGAGTTTCACCAGGGGGACATTTGAAAGGAACCATACTCTTACGACCATACTTTGATTTGCCTCGCTCCTGTTTCATCTTTCTCTCCTGCTCCATTTTCTTCAAAAAATCAATAATTGCATTCTCTCTCCACTACTGACGTTCGCGTTGAGTCATCATCGAAGTATCCTGCTCAACACGAGCACACAATCCACCTTTAGGCACTGGCCACGTTTCATGACACTTGCTTGCAGGTGGTCCATCGATTTTACGGTTGTGCTGGAAAATGGATGTTGAAATAACTTCAAAAAATTGAGCCACTTTATCTCGGTGCGTGTATAAGGTATCGAAAAGTGGCGAACTGACAAAATATATTTTATATCTTGATAAACATTTTGTCAGTTAACCACTTTTTGGTATCTTACATAGGAGCTGAGGTAACTTGGCTCAAATGTTAGGAATGATACATTTCTGCCCCGTACTGAGGTATGAAACAGTTTCACACGTACCTGAATGATAGTTGTCTGAACCGCATAGCTGACGATCTCCTTTCCAGTCCGCGGACAATATGTCACTTTGCATGCCATGGCACGATAGTTCCCACCAATCAGCATATCCTCAAACAACGTCTTCTTATCTCTGGCGTTCAAAAAAACCGCAGTTTGGTCATATTCGATGTAATTCGGGTCTGAACAGTCGGTTTTTTCTAATTCATATTCAATGATCGACTCGAGATCTTCCATGTATTGGTTTTCGTTCATGTTCGCAATGTTGAACTTGTAGGCGTAGGCTTCTTTTAGACGGTTCACTTCGTGGAAGCATTCTGGGGCTCCCAGAGCCAGTGGGGCGACTGGAAGTGGAGAGTTTTTGGAGGCAATTTTTTCAGTTTTTGAATTTCTTACCAATTGCCAACAATCCAAGGAGGAGCATGTTGGGAATACTAAACTTTTGGGGGATTCTGCAAGCTTTTATAGGGGGCTAAGATCTGATAAGGGGGGTCTTATCAGATTCCTTTTTTATATTCTTTTTTGGGAGGAAAGATTTGTATCTCGATTAAAAAAGGGATTCTGGGCGTTTTTGATGTGGTTTTTTTTCGAAGGATTACTGCGCATACTTTATTAGAAAGGCATATTATATTCTAGACCTAAAATTGATCCACTTTAGAAAAGCCACACACCGTATACTTTTCCTTTGAGCTCACATGCAGTTATCCCGATTTCTACAATAGATATCGTAAATTTTACAATCTTGGTGATATTATGATAAATAATTTTTCCGTTGACCACTTTTTGATATCTCTTACGAGAATTGGGATAATCGAGCTCAAATTATGGTAGGCTTCTTTTAAGGCATTTGCAGTACAGAAAAAAAGCAATTTGAAGAGGATTATCATTTAAAGTGTTATAAAACGGAGATTTGAAAATGTTTCAAGATAATGACTCTATTTTATCATACTGCAAAAATCACGACCTGCACTGGATGCTTGTGCCAGTGAAGAATTCATGATGTTTGGTTCTTTTGGTATGCTTTTTCGATCTCATTAACAATTTCAAAACGATGCTGAACACGGAAAATGAAAACGGCTACTAAAAAGTGCGAATACATCAAATTCAATGCAACAAGAAAATATGCCAACTCCAATGTTATGAATCCCAAATTAAATCAAGCTTTGATTCCCCCTGTGGAAAATGTCCGTGATCTTGGGATCTACTTCTCCAGTAACCTGAGTTTCCATTATCATTATTCGTTGATTATTCGGAAATCACATCAGAGGATCAACATGTTTTTTTCCATTCTAAAAAACTCATCGTGGAGTGTTTTTATAAAACGCTATTCAATTTACATACGCCCTTTACTCGAATATGGAACAATAGTCACTTCTCCAATCCTTAAAGATTATAAAATTGGAATCGGTGCAAAAGTCATTTGTTTTCAGAATTTTCAAAAAATTCATGATGACATACACTTCATACTTTGAAGCACTTGAAGAATGTTAGTTGAGCTCTTTGGAGTATCGGAGGCTCTATAATGATGTTATATCTCCTAGATTGATAAACATTTCACGTGTTAGTGGTTTTCTCCCCTTCGTTGAAATAAATAAATTAAAATTACATTAAACACTTTGTTTGATACCACCAGCTTGTTCGGCGTTCTAAACTGTTACAGATAAACCGAGAAAGCAACGTAACTTCATTTACTTGTTATAAGAATGATAAGAATTATGTTGGTAATGCCATGAATCTCGCAATCATGTCTATGCCGTAGATTTAACTATATCTACCGTATTCCTCTTGAAAGATCGTTCCATTCCAGTTAATCTCAAAATCACTCCTCGATACTGCGACGACATGAAGAAACACAAGAAGCAATGTGTGATAGAGTTCCAACTCTGAAGGGTTTGTGGAAGGCCCCGGAGTGTAGATCCAATTGACCTGAGTATAATACTTTCATTTTGAGCTCAATTATCTTAATTTCTGCGAGTGATATCAAGTTTGTGCGAGCTACAAAATACAGAAACCGAGATAAACTGGCTCAAAGTTGTGAAGCCTTACATTCGCATAAACGGAAAACTTCCTCCGGGATATGGATAATAATAATAAAGAATAAAAACCCCACTGTATCCAAAGTTAGCCAACAGTAGAGAAACCGCCATACCGGTGACCAGAGCAAGAGTGTTATCAGTGCTGAAAGTGTCATTTTCAATGTGATAACTATTATCCCAAAAACTTGGCTGCGCCCATTTTAATTCTTCGCATTTTGGCCTTCCAGATTGATATGAGAAGAAGTACAGTAAGAATGCAATACAAAAATGTACGTGCCAATACGATAAATCCCTAAAAATTCTTGATGTTTCTCATCAAACAATTCATCAGTAGTGTACCAGTAGCATCTAGAATATTTGTATAGGACACGAACAATCCAAAAAAGGAGTTACTCACGTTCCGGGCCTAATTTCAAGTTTAACTCTTCCATACAGGCTTGCAAACCAGGCACCAAGTGGAATCAATGTAATCAACTGTAATCAAAATGTAATCAAAATCACAGCACTTTTAAAAGTTGTCAACATTGCAACAGTATTATTGAGTGAAAATAAAAGAACCAGTGCTCTGATAAGAGTCATGATAAGCCCTAAAATGGTTCCGAACCTTTGGGTTCCGCGAGAGAACCAAGAGAACCAATCGATCCACATTTGGCCAGTACTACCACAAAGAAATGGCCTGCAATGTATCTTGAAGTGATTGAGGTGACAAGGGAACCATGTTTAGCCTTCGTCTCAGAATTTTTTCTAAGTTTGCTCATTTATAGTTTTGAATACGGGCTTTCTTGTGGTGTATTTGGTTTTCCGCACAAATTTCTAGAAGTCGAGTTATGGGCTGTTTAAGTGATTTCAGTACTAATTTTTCACTTTTGGAGTGAGTTTTTGAAAGGGTTAATGGGAGTTTTTTGGCATTTTTTTGTATGTCAGTCGTAATTTTAAAAGTTTCTCTACAATTTGAAAAAGTTTCCTCATTTTTCAAAAAAAACAATTTTTTGAAAAAATTTTAAATGGGCTAAAATGAGTTTTAAACGAATGGAAATGATAAAATGAGTCTTTTCACAAGATTCTGTAGCCTATATCCGTTTGGAAATCCCAAATAAGTGATTTCTTCCCAAACTTGTATGAATCGTAGTCCTTCGAAAATCACCCAATAGCACTCAAATCTTGTGAAAACATAGATTTACATACTTCTTGACTGATTTATAACAGTTCCGCAACCAATATGGTCAAATCGGGGGGTTTCGAGTGACATTTTGAGTAGTTAAGGTTTTCGAAACAAGTCCAAAATGAATTTTTCTCTCAAAATATATCGCTTTTTTTGAGGTTTTCCCTACTCAAATAATAGATGGAACATATTTTTGATTTTCGAAAAATGCAAAGCGTTCGTGGAAGGGAAGGAGGAGAGCAAAAAACAGCATATTTTCAGATGGAATTTTCTCGACTTCTAGACATTTGTGCAGAAAACCAAATACACCACGAGAAAGCCCGTATTCGAAACTATGAATGAGCAAATTTAGAAAAAATTCTGAGATGAAGGCTTCCCTTGTGAGTATACTGTACAAAACGGTAGAGCTTTTGTGCGGATTCATCAAAAACGGGAAGTGTGATTTATTTGGGATTCCGTATAAAAGTAACACATTACAAGTTGATTACCAGGGCGGTGATTGTGGAATGACAATGGATCTCATATATCAAACTGTTCCATTCCCATCAGGATATCATAGAAAGTTAACGTCTTTTGTTTGTTTGCTTCGTTCATTTTTTACGGAGTTTTCTGAATTCGATAAAATTTGATTTTCAAAAATAGAGAATACCCAACAAAAAACTTCGTTAGAGACCAGAAAGCAGAGAAAGGTCCATGGGGACCCCATTCTACTTTGAGCCAATTTATCTCGTTTCAAATTAAGAATATCAAAAAGACGTCAACTAACGAAATGTTTGTCATAATATCAAAAATATTATGTCAGTTGAAAAAGTTTTGATGCATCTTACGGGGCACGAGATAAATTAGGTCAAAATAGATGGGCCCTACTAGTTCCAGTAGTCAGCCGACTTCCCGACCGCGTAACTCACCCGAAACTTTTTCTGTACCTCCAAATGTTTCTCTACCCTTGACCATCTGTTCTCCATCTTTCAAGAACCTAATTGGTTGTTTTCACTTCCCACCCCCGCTTCCGTCCACTCCAGATGATCCGGATCCTCTTCAAGATTCACCGAACCAAGCATCAACGAACAAAATGACAACCTTTCATTAGTTTATTCAGGAGAGAGAAAGGTGTCTAGAGATCCTTATCTAGACAGTGTGATGTTCTTTGGAAAGTGCGAATTTCGATTATTACATAGAGATCAAAAAAGGGGTGCAACGCTGCAAAAAAGGCTACAAAAAGTACCAAGTGTAATTCATCGAACGGCTGGTGACAATTTTGACGTCACACATTTAGCACTATAAAAGGAAAGAACAAGGTACCATCGGCGCAATTCCATTCAACTATGCAATCCTCCATCCTGATCCTCCTCTGCCTTGTCTCCATCGCTGCCGCCTGCCCAGGACTCTTCGGAATGGGAGGTGGAG